AGTATTTTAAACTGTATAAAAAAAATTGAAATCAATTGTGAAAATCCATTCCTTATATAGGACGGTCTCTCCTGTTAGAATTTAATAGTAAAACTTTCTTCATGTTCACAAAAACCTTAATCGAAGTTACCATAAAAAAGATAAAACATAAATCAACATTGACAAGCCTATTATTATTAGGGAAGCTGGAAAAGGATGGGGGACGGGCAGGTGTGGCTTGAACCCGTCCCCTGTCCTTTTCACGTTTGGCCTTTTAATACTAGAAAAGGACGGGCAATGGTACGGGTGTTTTTCAAAATAATTAAAAAAAGGACGGGCAATTATGAGGGACGGGCATGGTGCGGGTCAAGGCACAGCAACCTGTCCCCCGTCCTTTTCTATTATTCATTGGGGAAATCTTGAAATGGATGGGTTGCTGCGTCATTACTGCCCGTCCCATGTCCTTTTATATTATTTATGGGAAAATCTTGAAAAGGACAGGCAAACAAATGATGGGTTACTGTGCCATTACCACTTTGTCCCACTGTTTTTTTTATTATTAATGGGCAAACACAGGTGAAAGCTGTTTGTCATAAATATAATATCCCATATCCATTTATTCCTTATTTAAAATCTTGATTTTTATTTTTATTTATAATCTTTTGGTTTGAGACAAAATTGTATAAAATAAAATCATTGAAAATATAGATTCAGATATTGATTGTTGCCACCACTATAAATAGAAGGAGAATAACCTTTTTAATACAAAGCTTTAATTGTTAATTTTAATGCTAATCAAAAATGAATGCCACATTTTTTTAATTAATGAATGCAAGATCATAAATAATGTCACGTTTATTTAATAATAAATGCATTGTTATTTGGTACTAATCAAGATTGTCAAATAACGAATGCCAATGCCACATTTATTAATAATGGATTTATTACTGAATTATGGCTAGTTCATTTTAATATATTATAGAACAAATTTGAATTGGCAATTTTGTTTAGTGTCAAAAAACATGAAAATCTAGATTCAGATGTTGATTGTTGCCACCACTATAAATAACCTTTTTAATACATAACTTTAAATTTAATACTAATCAAAATGAATGCCATGTTTTTTTAATAATAAATGCATTGTTATTTGGTACTAATCAAGATTGTCAAATAATGAATGCCAATGCCACATTTATTTGGTAATAGATTTATTATATTTTTGGCACATATCAATTTATTTTTTAGGGTAATATTATATACAGAAAGGTTCTTTTATGAAATATACAGAACCTATGTGACAAATAAGGATTAATTCTTAGAGTTGGTAAACACTGTGTAATTCCTGCC